GGTCAGGGGTTGATGGCCCTGGAAGGCCGGCCCCTGGAGGCCCACCGTCATATGCGGCACTTTCAACAAACGCCAGACGGTCATTTGGGTTTCGTCGTCTTCTCTCTTCTTCAACTGCTGTCGCGAAGGTAAAACGGATTAGGAGGAGTCCCTGTATAAGCCACACTTGCGCTAGACATGAACAAGTACTCTTGATTTATCAAGAGTACTTGATTCAAGAGTACTTGGAAACACCCTTTTCATGACGCTGCGCGGATTACTCAGGGCCTACTGGGCGGTCTCATAGGACATTGAGTCTTAATAACACACGAGCGCTCTGCTAAAGACCCTTGTCTAGGAGACTGGTCAGTAGCCGTTCTATATCCGGCCACAGTGCACCCAGTGTCCACTGAAACAACAATAACCATTGAGCTCGACGCGTGCTACCTGTATAGGTCACGATTTCGTGGCGGTGACCGCCAGTGGGCCCTAGTATCTTGGAATCAATGTCTGCATTAATAGCAAAGAGAGGAAGCTGCTGGGACTCCCAGCAGCTTCTACTGAAGCCTTCTGAGTAAATCGCCAGAACGCCGACACCTCCTCATCTCCACCGCTCCCAGGCATCAGGCCTTGGAGCCTCATCAGGAGCCAGAATCGGGGAGGCGATGGCAGGCTCAATGGATGGCAAGCAACCCAGTCCCACCCTCGCCGGATCCTGCATGGCAGCAGAGTGGTAGAGGTCCCTGGTGTTTCTCCAGCATGCATGGAGCTCCCTCAGGTACTCCTCTGAAGGAAGAACAGTGAGAGTGACAGGGGCAGGGTTATGCCTGAAGAAGGCGCTAGCCTGAGCCGAGTCTGCCTGCGGAACCTGAAGCTGCAAACGTGCCAGGGCTACACGAATAATGGCCGCCATGGAGGCATCCTCCATGCCCTGCTGAGAGCTCTGAACAGAGGAGTGGGAAGCCTCCTCGGGAGTGACCCTTCATTGAAGAGGTTTAGCCAAAGCCGCTAGCGACATGGCATCCTCAAGCAGAGGTGCGGCAACCGAAGGAGGGCCAGGCTGCAAGCTAGTAGCCCCCACACCGGCCCCTGGCTGAAGGGCCAAGAGGAGCGATTTCGTCTGCTCCATGACGGCAGCTAACCGATCCACCTTAGAGGACAGCTTGTTTCTAGTCCTCTACCACCTGGGGGGTGAACCCATAGCCATCACTACATCAAGTCGCCGGGAACGGCCAGACTGAGCTGGACGAGGTTGTGACGAGGAGAGGTGTCCGTTGGCTGCTGCCAGACGCTCCACCTCTGCGACTCTAGCCACTCTGAGCTTCCGAGGCATGAAGCTACAGTTCATGCAGGCGCTCTACGTGAGACCCTCCCTCAGATGCTCGAGGCCAAGGCAAGAGGGGCAGCGGTCATGGCCGTCCTCGGGCTCAAGAGAAGCCATACAGGCGCTACATGAATGAGCCATTCTGTACCTGTACCATCTCAAGTCTACCAGGAGCGGGGGCGAGAACACTGCCTTCACTGGTTGAGTTAAGAACGAATGCCAGATGCAGCGTAACCGTGAGCGGGTGCGAGAACACAGCCTTCACCAGTTACCTGCTGAACGGAAAGAGTAGAGCCCTGCTCCTACTCGCCGAACACAAAGAGGGATGTAAATGTGTGAATCTTTGCTGTCCTGTTTTTTCACACTTACCCTGTTGCTGCTTTGTACAACTGAATTTCCCCTCGGGGATTAATAAAGGTTCATCTTATCTTAAATGCCCTACACCCACGTTACCAGCAGAGGGAGCGGAAGCGAGAGCACTGCCTTCACCTAGCTGGATTAAATAAAGAAGCTTAACAAGACAGCTTAGCCAGACGGCTGCTGCTATAATCAAGCAACACGTCCACCAGGAGCGGGGGCGAGAACACTGCCTTCCCTGGTTGAGTTAATTACGAAAACACAAAGCTAAGACCAGAAAGCTGGCTTCTAAAGAAAAAACAGCACGGGTAACTCCGGTGCTTATCCCAGCGTCAGCCAAGTGGCTGCTCAGGCAGGACACATTTAGGCTGAGCCACGCTACTGCTAACTAGCTAAACAAGAAAATGCAGCTAAGCCGGAAACTCAAAATGCTAATGATTGCTTGGCACAACGCCACGGTCAGAAAAAGTTTGCAAAAGAGCACAACAAGGGCAACTCCTGGGAGAGGGAGCGGAAACGCTGCCGTCACCAAAAAGTTCAAGCCAAATAGCAAACAAGACAGTAATCAGGACAACTTAGCTGGGAGAGGGAGCGGAAACACTGCCACCACCGACCAAGCCGACACCAACCTGTCCGATCGAAGTTTCTGTGCAGCCGGCCACAGCTCCTGGAGAACGACTAAGCCCGCGGCTCCGACTGGATTAGTCGTGAAGCTGCACGCAGCCAGCTGTTTATATTTGCCATACTCTATTTCTGTTCAGTTTGTGTCATTATAAGTTGAAATTGACAGTTGCAGTCAGTGAGAATAAGCAAATCTCTGACATTCAATTTAAGAAGGCCTTAAATTCAATTTAAATTATTAAATAATAATTTAAACATTAATCAACATGAATCCTAGTTATATTATACCACTCGTCTATGTCCAGATTTAGTGATCCGATTGTTCCAGAACAAATATGTGTGTTTGTAGGCCCTTAATATTTCCCCTATTAGAGGTATTTGTGCTGCTGCAAGCGTCTTGGACAATTAGTCTAAAATCCCTTAAATGTTTATGTTTGTTCTTAAAATATTTGTTAAGTATCACTTTAAAGATTTGACAAGACAATAGACTCCAATGTTTTTTTTGCAGGTGTTCTTGCATTTTTCTTCTTCACACGTAAAATACCAGTCATTCAAGAGGAGGTGCCATCCCTAAATTACTACTGGGTCCCCCTTGTGGTAAGGAATTTAATGTTTTAATGAGTAATCATACCAGCAATAACAACTGATATATTTCACTGATGTGTGGCATAGATCGATGTTCACTGAGTTTTAAACTTGCTAGACTGCATTTATATTCACTTTATTCATTTAGTTCAGATTGCGTTATTGCACAGGGTATTTGCTTTTGTTAAAATATTTATGACTCAGTGGTCCTTATTATCCTGATGTTCCTGGTGTTTGTTGGAATGCCTTATAAAACAAAATTGCATAACAATGTTGACAACGTAGCATACTGACTACGACCGTATGATCTTTTCAGACGGTGATATTTGGATCCTACATGATTGCGCATGGATTTTTTAATGTCTATGCCATGTGCGTGGACACGTTGTTCCTGTGCTTTTGTAAGTATGCTGTTTTTTTTCAGAGCTTTGCATGACATAGTGCGGGAATATGACTACATGAAATAAGCGCTGCTATGATGGTTAAATGTCAAGTAGCCTGTCAGCAGCTGAATGCAACTCTTTCCCTCTTTAAAACTGGCTCTTATAACAACTGAAACTGATTCTTGCTCATTCAGTTCTAATTCTTGCATGCTCTTTTCAATTATTTCTCTCTACTAAGTCTTTGCTTTGCTTTTTCTGTCTGTCTGTCACTGTCTGCTCTTCCTGCTCCTCCTCCTCTCCCGTGCTGGGACCTGGTCTCAGGTGAAGACCTGGAGAGGAATGATGGTTCTTCCTTCAGGCCCTACTACATGTCTCCTGGCCTGCACAAGATCCTGCGCAAAGGAGAGGAGAGTTCCAAATCATGCGCTGCCTCTTGAGCGATGTGCGGCCATTTTTACTAAACTGCTGACTCTCACTCACTTCTCCATATCTTCTGTATGTGTGGGGGTCTGGACGTTTGAGAGCAAGTACTGTAGGGCTAAACATCAAAACTGGATGCATCACAGCCTGGTCAGGGATGGCTTGGACATGAAAGGACATGCTTTCGCTTCAGTTCCACCCAGAAAAGGCACGGCGGACTAAAGAAGACCAGTTTACTTCGTCTCTCGAGCCAACTCAGATACTTGCCTTTTTTTCTGCCACGCCTATTTTCTTTTTCTTCTCTGTATTGTCTGCTGACCTCTGCCTTACTGAGAGGGTACATGTTAACTCGCAGGACTAACGCATAGGCCGATATAAATCAAATACGAACATTTTCCCCCCAAACGAACATAAGGACCTAGATGTTGTCTATAGAGACGATAGGAGCTAGATGTACAGATGCACCTGATAGACTATGGCATAAGGCTTCACCATGACAACGTGGTGGAGTTCTGGGACACCCTCTTGTCGCACTTTGGTCCTCTAGTGTAAAATCATGTTTTGTATGCACTTTCACATATGGGAAAAGAACCATGTGTTTTATTTCTTCTGTCAAGCATGATTATGTTGCTGGCTGTGGATGTTTACCATTGATTTTATAGATTGCTTTGTTCCACCGTATTTATATATCACAAATGCACAGATCCAAAAATGGTGTATAATTCTGCACTAGGAAAAACAGGTTATTTTACACCATTTAAGAAAAAGGTTGCAATCATTTCCAAGTTTCCATTATGCTCATAGATGTACTGTAAACAAGACGGAGACTGTGTGGGAGGTCAAGACTTCAAAAGACATTCATGGTTTAAAAAAATGTATTTGAACAAAACCTGACAGTTTTCAGGAAGCGTTTGAATGCAGCCACTAGTTCATGTGCCTAGTTGGAGAAAAAAAATGTTCCTCTTATTCTGTGGTTATAGACCTAACACAAGGAACCTTTTGCGATACAGTTTATAAAAGGATGTCAAAGCCATTTTTGGTAACTTTTTTATTGGTATGGTTCAGATGTATTGCTGTGTTAATACTAAGTATAATACACGCATCTATCTGGAGGTTATTCAGTGGGTTTTTTGTATAGAAGAATTTTTTTTATCAATGAAAATGTGAATACATTTTTTTGAATAAAAATAAATGGTTTAAGTATTGTCCAGTGCGATTTCCATTGCAGTTTTTAACATTTTGCTACTGCTGCCTCCTAGTGTGGGATCTGGAGGCGCACGACGGCTCTCCTCTCCGGCCCTACTACATGACCAAATCCCTGAAGAAAATCCTCAAGAAGAAAAACGTAGAGACGCCCGACGAGAGAATGAAGTAGAGAAAAGTCAAAGGTGGGGGAAGGAGAAAAGCTCAAGTTCATTTGCCAAAGCATGGTACAAGCCCATGTGGCAATAAAGACTTTGCCAAATATAATTTTAAGTGTTCACAAGTTGCAGCCGTACACTCTAATTTACAAAATGTTGCAACTTTAATAATTACATCCAATCACATGCTCCTAAATATGATGCGTAATGTTTTTTGATATTTAACTTCAAAAGTCAGTTTGTTGTTTTTATATTCAGCGGTGTACAAGCAACACCAAGTTCTTGTAAATATTCATATTTTTTATTTTATAGTTTTAACTGATATATGGGTGTGTTTGTTACAGCCACAGTCATACTTCACATAAGTTCCTATTGGAATGAGTGATTTCTTTCTTTATTGAGATTGTGCTAAACATCAGCAGTTTTTGTTCTTATAACTCTTGTAGCTGCCGGTTCCCACCACTGGATGGCGCCACTCACTAACGTGTGTTATGTATACTGTTGTTGTTGTTGTGCTGGTGATTGAACTAGTTTTTCCATGAAATGGTTAAACGTCACCTCGTCTATGTATTGTGTTATCACATGTTTTTTTTACCTCAATTTGTCTCACATTGAGAATCATATTAAGTTAAGTGTCCACTGTTTTCATCTTTAACTGTCAAGGACATAATGGCAGAGCATTTCAAAGTGCTTCACGCTTTAAGGGCCTTTTTTGTAGAATTGCCACATTGAGTGTCTAATTGCATCTTGCATTTACATTAATTTTATTTTAAGATGCTTTCCTGACATTCATAAAAGAACGTGTTGTCAGAGAGAGAGTGATAGTCAGCAGCAGTTGGATGTAGGATTAAAAGGTGAAGTAGAAGGATATTCTGTGTTTGGAGGTTTGGAAGCATGTTACATACCTTCAAAAAAGTCAGAGGTTTTTCTCGGCTGCATCTTGTGTCAGACTAGCCTAGAATGCAGAACCTTACACGTGTTCTTAGATGTTTAACATATCTATTATAGGCGTCTATTTGTGGGACGCCACCAACATTGTCTCGTCTTAAAGAGTCCCTCTTAAAAAATGCTTTAAAAAGTGTCATACTCACAAGGCACACACCAATATTACTAATTTTCAACAGCATAAAACATAAACCTGCAGTTGAACCCACTTCTCTGATGAAGCAAGAAGCTTCAAACTTTGCTTCCATCAAAAAAGATCTAGGTAGAGTATCCCCTTGATTATAGAACAAAACATAATACCAACATTTCATGATGGAGTTATGAACGTCATTGTACAGTGTTGAATCCTTTTGTTTCTACGGGTGCTCTGTTGGTCCAAATTGGAGCTTACCTCAAATAGTATTAGTGAGTTAAATTGAGGCAGTAGTCAGGCAGAACTTCTTATTTTTTTAAAGATGGTTTTAAAAGACAACTTGCCCTATATTTTACATTGGCTGCTTTCTGAAGTATAAGCACATCTCTGGCATTAGAAGCATGCTGATGTCAGGTCAGTTTGCATGACTGTTTGTAACACTGGTGCGCCAGTAATGTGGAAGATACAGTCTGTTTTGATCAGATTCTAAGTAAAGCTTGAATATGTTGTATGTTAAATGAGTTATTGGCAGGTTTGGGTATCACCAGGTTGTGACTGAAATACACAAGTGACACAGCTTTTGGCAGTTTCACACACATCCAACTTAGGGGGAGGTTCTCTACATTAATGTGTCATCATACTCACCTTTTAGATCTTTGAGATGAGACAAATGTGGAAACCTGCTCTCATGGTGCCTCAGAGTGACAGCAGCGCCAGGCTCACACACCCTGTGCCGCCGTTTAGCTCAACACGCTGGGACACGTACAATGTAACAATTCAGTGAAAGCAAAACAACTGCTTCAGTATCTGAAAGGAGAGAAACGATGCCTGTGGTGCTCAGTGTGCCATATAACGTCTGTCTTTATTCCTTTTTATACTGAACAACTTGTATTCCTCCAGTTGAATTGTGGATCTTTACATCATGCAACAGGTCGGGTTTCATTCCCATGAGGGTTGATACCTAAGATCTGATAACAGAAGTAAAAGCTGCTTTTATATGCCCCCCCTCCCCCCTTCCATGTCTGAAAATTTGATTATTTTGGTCAACCACAGTCAACAAGTAGACACAAGTGCAGCTCCTCTCCTCATTACGTGCGTCACTTTTCTAACCGCAAACTCTTAAAAGTCAAACTCTGAAGATGCAGTGCTCAAACCTGTCAATACTCCAAATGGTGTTATTTATTGTGCACAAAGCTGACAGTATAAGTGCCTCTGTTTTATATTTATTTATAACGTTACGGTTGCATGTGTTTTTTTTAACAGATTATATTACATTCAAATATAAATGTTTCTGTTTTTATCAATAAATAGTATTTCTACTATGCATTTACTAGACTCTATTCTCTTAATATGCACATCCAACATGTCAGATGTCACTGGATCAGAAAATGATGTTTTCTTAATTAGTCCCGGTTTTGTAAAATTAGACATTTATTTTCAAAAACAGACTTCACATACAATGAATAAATTAATTGCAATATTCAAACACAACTGTACAACCTTCATAACGATTTGACATTTTGGGTCGGGTGGCTCCCACTTAGAGTAGCCCGGTCCAACTGTCACCAACTACACAAACAGATGATTTGATGATGTCATATCATCTGCCACAATCCACTGAGGTACACAGAAACCTTTTCATTTCCACATTATACAGTACAAATAAATTATAGTCAACCATATTGTGCTTAACAGTGAAATAAGTTTTCAAAGAATGTTGACATTTAATAAATCACTGGCTGTTCAAGAAAAACACGTTTTATGGTTCCCTTAAAATAAGCTATATTTACCATGGAGACCTGAAGTGTGTGTGTGTGTGTGTGTGTGTGTGTGTGTGTGTGTGTGTGTGTGTGTGTGTGTGTGTGTGTCTCAGGCGTGAGACACAGGCAGGGAGGTCATGGCGTGGGCTGGCAGCAGCGGTTGAAACATTGATGGAGGGGAGTGTACTGCGGGCACACAGAGAGCACTGCAGTCATTATAAATTATATATAAATAGATCTTTATATTATATATTAAGACATTAGTAAAAAGCTTCAGCGTCATCATTAAGCCTCTCTTGTCTTTGTTCAAAAGTTTGATTGAAGATTGTATATGATTCACCTCAAAAATCAAATAAGTCCGGATTACTTGTTATGACTTTCCATAAAAATACTCAAAATGACAATGTGATATTTAATGAAACGGCAACCGTGGATTGAAATCAATTCAGGAACCTCTGGTTTCATTTAATTTCATGAGCAGCGATGGTTAGTGTGACCTGTGTACGTAGTCAATTATGTATGACCATTGTTGTTATGTTTTATATTCATCCTCCCAATTCAGATGTTGCACAATTCTCTTTATTCACTAATGCCATTTGAAGAAAGTTCCTTTTAAAAAATATTTGAACTGTATTTATTTTTCAATGATCATCTTATATCCTGACATTTTCAAAAAAGATCCTATGCTTTAATTTTTTCTTTGGACTAGATTTTTAAATATAACATCAAATCATTAGCAAATTAACTAAGCTGATATTTGTCTTTGGCTGGAGGGATACGTAACCACAATTTGGGAAACCTTTTTAAGTGCCTCTTGTCAGATAAACTCCTGTTTTAAAATAAACCAGATCAATATAATATTTCAAATATTAAAATATGAATTTGACATGTAGTTCTTTATAGTCAGCAGTGAACCACAGTACACCGTGTTAATGTCATGAAAAGGCTGGTGCTCACTGTCTATGAAGGAGTGTAGTGCAGAGAGCATTGACCCCTCCGGGCCCCCGTAGGCTGTGTACTGCAGCTCCTCGGGGGTGGGGGTGGGCTGCGAGAGGCGGCTGGACTGCAGCGAGGACATGGGGTTGCTGGAGCTGTGGTTGGGGCTCACGTGCTTCTTGTGGCGGGCTCGGCAGTTCTGGAACCAGACCTGTTAGTTAACGGGACAAACACTTTTTGTAGGATCATAAAAACAAACCATCAAACAATCTACCGTTCACACAAAACACATAAACCAAAAGACACACTGAGTCATTCCGTAAGCTTGTAAACTGCAGGACTTTAGCTCGCTGCCAAGAGATCTCAGACAGTGGAGGAGCTGCACCTGGTGAGTAAAACCATATGTCTATCAACTTTTACTAGCATTCAAAGTGAGTTTAAAGTCTCACAGCCATTGATCTGAAGCTGTGTGAGGCTGAGTAACTCTGTATAGTTTACATTATTTAATGATACACCTTATTTGAACACACTTACTTGTTTACCTTATTTTTTATGTAAATAACACAATTGAAAAATAGTTAATGTTCTGATTATTGCATATATGATAAACCTTGTGCCAGAAATAGAAAATAACTAAAAATATGTATTCACTTATTGTTTCAAAGTGTACATTTAAGGTATTCTTACTTATTATTGTATGCTGTATTGTTCTTCTGCACAACATGTCAGAAGGTCAAACATAGTTATTTGTTCAGCTTCATGTCAAGACTTTGTTGATTCACATTTGACATTTAAAAATATGAGATCAATTTATGAATAAAATGTGCTGTTTTTTTTTATTAAACTGCAGCAGAATATAGTTTTTGAAACATGCTTTACATTAAAAGAATTAGAATAAATGTTTTTATTTTGGTTTTCCTTAATGTTTTAACAACAAGATGGAGTTTCCATATTGCAAACTCCACCCCCCCTCAAGCTCCTCACTGACCTGTATGACTCTCCGGCTGAGACCCGTCTGCTCCGCCAGCTTCTGCAGCGTCTGAGCGTCTGGATTGTTGTCCTGAG